CCACCCCCACCCACTCCAGGGCCGACATCCAGCCGCAGGGTCCGTTTCCCCCCACCCAACCCCACTCACTCCAGGGCCGGCGACTGGAGGTGCAAGCCTCCGGCTGCCGGGTCCGTTTCCACCCCCCCCACTCCAGGACCGGAGACCGGAGGCAGAAGCCTCCGGTCGCCCACTCCCTTCCCCTCCCCCACCACCCACTCCCAACAGGCACTGAGGGGAATGTAGGGTTGCCAGCTCTAAGGAGGGAAATACCTGGAGGTTTGGGGGGTGGATTCTGTAGAGGGCAGCATTGGGCGGGGGGGGGGCGGAAGGACTCAGCAGGTATAATGTCATAGGGTCTACCCTCCAAAGCATCCATTTTCTCCAGGGGAACTGATCTCTGTCATCTGGAGATCAATTGTAGCAGTGGGAGATCTCCAGGTCCCACCTGGAGATTGGCAACCCTAGGGGGAAGTCAGCTGCACAGCAGGGGGTTGAAGAGAATGGTTTGATGGCTGCTGGGCCAAGATTGGCAACAATAGTTCCCCAGGAGCCCCATCGTAAATGCACCAAACAATTCCTCAAGATTTTCCAAAACACTTCTCTGTTTTGGGCTCCTGGGGAACTTTGAAGTAGCACCAAAGCTTTAAGATCTCTCCAGCTGTCACCTGGAGACTGGCAACAGCTTGTCTGGAGTGTGGGCAGCATGGCATTGTATCTGTCTGAGGTCCCCCTCTTCCTCCTCCTCCTCAAATCCCACCCTCAGCAGGCTTCATCCCTAAAATATCCTGGAAGTTTCCAACCTGGAGTTGGCAACCCTATCTGCCTGTCTTAAGTTTTACAAACCCCCCCACACACACACACACAGCCTCTGCCTAGGGAGCAGCTGACATCATTCTGCTCTTCCAACTGAAAATTCCAACTGCCTTGCGGGGGGGGGGTGAGTTTCAGGTGTGGAATGGAGTGTAGTCCAATCAGCTTCCATATGTAAATGACCTTGGAACGCTGGCCGGGACTGCACAAAGCAGCCAATGAACCCAGCCAGTGTCTTCCGAGTGGCAGTTTTTTCGGCCTAACACTAAAGGAGTGCATTTTAGAACTTTGGCACCCAAAACTCTTTTATTATAAGGGAGAGATTTACATCCTGCTTTTCTCCCCAACTGGAGACCCAAAAATGGCTTTTTACATTGTTCCCCTATTCTCCACTTGATCCTCACAACAACACCCTTGTGAGGGTAATTTAGGATGAGAGATCTGTGAGGGACCAGAGGTCATCTGGTGGGCTTCCATGGTTGAGCAAGGGATTGGAACTCAAGTCATCCCAGGTCCTAGTCCGACAATGCTGAATTAAGTGAACTGAGTGTCTGTGTGTGTGTCTATACGCGCACCGTGATTCAGTGGCAAACATCAGCTATGCATGCAGAAGGTCCCAGGTTCAGTCGCTGACATCTCCAGTTGCAATGATCAAGTAGTATGTGATGTGAAAGACCCCGCCTGAGACCCTGGACAGCCACTGCCAGTCTGAGCGGACAATACTGACCTTGTTAGAGCAATGGTCTGACAAGATAACAGGCCTTCAAGTGTCCATCCATCAAGGCGTACCTTGTATGGTTAAACAGAAATGAACACTCTGACATATTGAGTATAAATCTGATATACCTTTAAATCGCATAAAACCAGTCAGCTTATAGAGCCATTGCCCAAGTGATCATTCCAAAGAGATACAAAGAACTGCCCAATAAAAGTTTTTTCAAATGCTCTTACCTTTGATATGCCTGAGGAGACGCTGGAGGTGTGCTGAACACATATGGATGATAGGGAGTCTTTTTCAAAGCCTGGATAAGGTTTTGTCTATATTCTGGGTCTATACACCATAAAGACCCCTTCCCAATACTCTGCAAAGAAGGCAAAAAAAGACCAAAAAACGTTAGTGACATGGTAGGTCTACTTCTAACTTCTTAGAAGATTGAGAATATGCCTTCTTGCGCACAGAGAACAACAAATCTCATTTCTTTGTCATGTAGTTTAGATTAGGTGATACAGTATTTCACTTTTAATGGTTAAAAAGGATTGAGGCAGATTGGATATTGTAAGGAATCTGTGAAAATAGCTGTTACTAAGCTTGCTTCAGTAGTTTGGTGGAAATTCCATCTCTTTCACATACGCACACACCCCACACTGAAAGATCATAATTATTCTTCAATGCCAACTTGGAAGATAAATGAGCCTCTCAGACAGGGAATACAACTGCTATTTTGTTTTGTTATTGTAAAAGAAAATTGGAGGGTTTTTTTTTTAAAGCACCCTCGCAACCCATTTTAAAAACAAAACTGTCTTAAGCCTTCAGCCGGCAGACATTATTGCCACTCTAACACAAAAAAGTTAGCCCATCAACTTTTCCAGCACCCGAATCAACAAAACATCTAAGCAGAGCTGAAAACAAAACTTCAGTTTAAAGTTCTCATCTGGGAGGTCTGGTATATGAAGCTTCTAAGGCACAGAGAATCATAAGAACAGAAGAAGAGTTCTGCTGGATCAGACCAGAAGTCCATCTCGTCTAGCATCCTGTCTCACGGCGGCCAGCCAGTTGTCCTGGAGGTCTAACAACAGAACACAGAGGCTGAGGGCTGTATTACCTTGAACTGGCATTATATCTGGCCAAGAAGCAGACATCTCAAAAGCAAGGTAGCCAACCAGAACACTGTACGATTACATCTAGGTTCAATTCACAAAGGTTCTTCTCAATATGATAGGAAGACTAGCTGTGACCCCAGCTCCAGCCTTCAACAAGACACAGGCATGCCATGCACTTATTACTGCTGCTGGGATTGGAGAAAGCAGCTGGTCATCACACAATGGCAGGCTTTTAAGAACATAAGAGAAGCCAATGTTGGATCAGGCCAATGGCCCATCCAGTCCAACACTCTGTCACACAGTGGCCAAAAATACCAGGTGCCATCAAGAGGTCCACCAGTGGGGCCAGGACACTAGAAGCCCTCCCATAGTTGACACCCCCCCGAAGCACCAAGAATACAGAGCATCACCTGCCCCAGAGTCCCTATCCATACCTTGTGGCTAATAACCACTGATGGTGGATCTCTGCTCCATATGTTTATCTAATTCCTTCTTGAAGCCATCCATGCTTGTAACTGCCACCACCTCCTGTGGCAGTGAATTCCATGTTTTAATCACTCTTTGGGTGAAGAAGTACTTCCTTTTATCTGTTCTAACCCGACCACTCAGCAATTTCATTGAGAAAGGGAGAAAAGTACTTCTTTCTCTACCTGCTCTATCCCATGCATAATCTTATAAACCTCAATCATGTCACCCCTCAGTCGTCATTTCTCCAAGCTAAAGAGCCCCAAGCATTTTAACCTTTCTTCATAGGGAAAGTGTTCCAACCCTTTTATCATTTTAGTTGCCTTTTTCTGCACTTTTTCCAAAGCTATAATATCCTTTTTAAGGTATGGTGACCAGAACTGTACACAGTATTCCAAATGAGGCCGCACCATTGATTTATACAGGGGAATTATGATATTGACTGATCTGTTTTCAATACCCTTCCTTTTTATTGCAGTCACACACTGTCTCAACACTTTGAGTTATCTACTACGACTCCAAGATCTCTCTCTTGGTCAGTCTCTGCCAGTTCAGACCCCATCAACATGTATTTAAAGTTAGGATTTTTGGTTCCAATGTACGTCACCTTGCACATGGTCACACTGAACCCCATTTGCCACGTTGATGCCCACTCGCCCATCCTCGACAGATCCCTTTGGAGTGCCTCACAATCCTCCCTGATTTTCACTACCCTGAACAACTTCGTATCATCTGCAAATTTAGCCACTTCACTGCTTACTTCCAACTCCCAACTTTTACACAATGATTGAATGGTATCACTTTCCACTGCCTCCCAGCAATACCTGGAGTTTCTTGGGTCTTCATTACCCATGCTGGCATGAGAGAAGGAAGTATTATATAAGCGCAGTGAGGAGCCTTTATGGATCACATGTTCTGAGGGCTCACCAGGACTTCCAACTTCCCTTTTTACTTGAACAATAACCCTCTCCATCCCACCATGCATGGCAAACTACTTCTAAAACATCGGCTAGTGTGTTGGGGCCCCTAAAGTAGATCCTTGATCAGAGTTTATTATCAGATCAAAAGTATTCTTACCCCTCTATGAGATTGATTGTAATAACCTTTGGCCATATCCAGTAAATGCTGTGTGTTACGTGCCATTAAGTTGCTTCTGACTTATAACAACCATATGAATTAATGACCTCCGAAATGTCCTATCATTAATAGCCTTGCTCGGGTCTTGCAAACTGAAAGCCATGGCTTCCTTTATTGGGTCAATCCATCTCACACTGTGTCTTCCTCTTCTCCTGATGCCTTCAGCTTCTCCTAGCAGTATTGTCTTTTCCAGCAACTCTTATCTTCTCACGATGCGACCAAGTACAATAGCTTCAGTTTAGTCACTTTAGCTTCTATGGGGAATTCAGGCTTGATTTTATCTAGAATCCACTTTTAGGGGTCCATGTTATCCTTGAAACTCTCTTCCAACACCACATTTCAAAGGAATCAGATAACTTCCTGTCAGCTTTCTTCATTGTCCCGCTTTTATACCCATACATAACAATGGGAAACACTATGGCATGAACTATCTTGATCTTGGTCACTAGCAACACATCCTTACACTTAAGGAACTTGGAACGAAGAAAGGTCCTTCCCAATCTCAACCTCCTTCTGATTCCTTGGTTGTAGTTTTCCCTTTGATTGATGACTTAGCCACGGAATAGAAAATTTGGAACAATTTCTTTATCGTCAACCTGAAACCTAAAATTATTCTTACAGATATTGTAATATAAATTAGAGTAAGAGCACCTTTTCACCCAAACATCAACTATGCCTGAAATGACTCAACATGTTCCTCTTTGTAATTATCATGAATACTTTTCATACTAACTCACACGTTATTGAATCCTGTTATTGAGAACACTTTCAAAAAGAGCTGAGTGTTCGTTGAATCATTTTCAGCACTGCTCACAGGTAGGAGAAAATGTGCACTCATCACAAAAGGTAGATCATGTGAAAACTTCCTACTTTAACAAAACAAAAGAGCAATTCTCCTAATCATGGACTTCCTCATAAAAGACACATAGAATATCCAGAATAAAGTTCCAGGCTGACGTATCCATATTGCAGAATTACTACATTTGAGTCAAAAAAATCTAAAGGGTTTTTTAAAAAAGCTGGTGTGAAAAGGTGTGAAGAGCTTCTTGCTTGACTCTTCCAAATCAATAGAATTCACACCAATCACTTAGAGATTAATTTCCATCTTCCGACATTTGGCATGCTACTCCACCAACTCTCTAAAGCCAGAAGTCAATAGCGTCTCTAATCAAAAGCCAGGAGGAAAAAAGCCCTTTGATTACATTTGTCTCCAAGGCAACAAGTGACTATGAAGTGGATTAACAACTCCCTGATAATCTCAGCAATGGAATGTTTCAAACTCCTTGACCGTGTTTTCTCTCAAGATGAGACGTGGTCATTTATCCATTTGTTTCACTCTGCCTTCTAACATTAATTATAGAAAATATGTGTTATTAAATCTCTCCCTTTATATCTGCTCCAACCTGCCTGACATAACTAGCCTGTAAAAAATGTTTATTTCCCCACACCTAATTCTGGAGATGGCTCCAGACTGCAGACCAAAAAAATCTGCTCAAATCAGGCCAGGTACAGACTGAATAGATGTTTCTGCAATGGATGTTTCAGGTTTGCAGGGGGGGGGGAATCATAGTAAGAAAAGGGGGGAATAAACACATACTCTCCACCTAACTAACCTCACAGGGATGTTGTGAGGAGGAGAGGAGAATGATGTAAGTTGCCTGGGGTCCCCCAATGGGTAGAAAGGCAGGGCATAAATGAAGTAAATAAAATAAACATAAAATAGCTGGAACAAAATTTCATGAGACTGCCACATAAGAACTTAGTATCCATTTTACATTGCTTGGGAAACCACAGGCAATATAGGTATGTTGCCTACAGCTGCTTATACAATCCAGATTGTCACTGAGATAGACTTGAAAGGCTTCTGTGGTCACTTACTCCACAAAAAAACAGAAAGATGATCAGTGGGAGGGGGGAGAGGAGAGGCAAGTGGGAAATGAAGCTGAGAGAGGAAGGAAACTCTCCTCCCCAACACATCTCATTGGTCCCTGTCTTGTTTACCTGTATTATTATGCAAATATCTCCTAAAAGCACCTTTCCTACCCAACTTTCATGAAGTTTCAGTGGGTAAGACAACCATATTTCTTTCTTTTATTTATTATTTGATTGGTATACCGCCCTCCCCCAGGTTGGGGCTCAGGGTAGTTGACAACAAGTTATAAATACGTTCTGATGAATACTGTAATAATACATACATATACAAAATTTAAAACAAAAAAACAAGCAATCAATTCATCAGATGGCATTTAATATTCCATATCCTACTCGGGGGGGGGAGGAGATGGGAGGCCAAGCTTGATGACAGACTGTCGCTTGATGGTAAACCGTTGCTGTCCGCAACCAAAGGCCTGGCGGAACAGCTCTGTCTTACAGGCCCTGTGGAACTGCATTAAGTCCCGCAGGGCCCGGATGTCATTAGGCAGAGAGTGTCACCAGGCTGGCATCAGGGCTGAAAAAGCCCTGGCTCTGGTTGAGGACAGCTGGATATCCTTTGGGCCAGGGATCTCAAGGAGGTTATTATTCACAGAGCGTAACCCTCTTTGGGGGGGGGGGGAGGTATATAAGGAGAGGCGGTCCCAGAGATACACTGGTCCCAAATGCTGAAGAAAATTTAAGCTTTCAAGCCCCAAGGATGGAGGGTGATTGCCGAGGCTCTTCT